TCTGATGAGAATATGTAGGCATAGGATGCGATATCCTAGCGAGCACACTAACAACTAACTTTTGTTCTCCTCGCTGCTGTGCGATCGAGACTTTCCCGCTGACGACTGATGTCATCCTTTTCTCTTGCCCAAGTGCATTTGAGACCAGACCGTAGTTCTAGTTCCCGTAGGTTCCCATACCTAGAAACCCGACATACTACATCCGTTCTACCACAAACAGGTACGCCTAAGTCTCCAATGGTCGAGCAGCGTCCACCTAACTGCTAGAATGCGTACGCTAGTATCGTCAACTTAATCTCTCACCCCCGTGTGACCGAGAGCACCTTGTCTAGCCGTAGTTAGCCTGAACTACGTCATGCTCTGATTTCTCTGACGAGAATAAGTAGGCCCAAGACGCGGCGTCTTGCCGAGCAACTAACCCGTAGTTTCCTGAACTACGCAGACTCTGATTTCTCTTTCTCTGATGAGAATACGTAGGCATAGAGTGCGACGCTCTATCGAGTCAATTTCTTCCCGTTTAGATTTAGCAGCCGTAGATAGATTGTTTTTCACCCGTCCAAGTAAACCCAAACAAGCGAGGATCCCGTCGAGTACGACGGACGTGAGGGGTGCTAATACCTTCCCCTTGCGTAACCGACTCCCGAATCCAGACAATGGTTGCGACGACCTTGTCTTACCCTTTTTCGTCAGGTTTTTCCGATCGTTTCCTTTCCCGCTCTGAGGGATAAATAACGAAAGGTGGCGACTCTTCTGTCATGCCGGCACCTTATTTTCGCGCAAACGACAACGATAAATGTAACGCCCCATAATGCTTTCAGGATTACCGACTGACCCCACAAACCAACACGGGTCTTTTCAGCATGCTTTGTCCTCAATCACACGCTTTCCAGGAAACTTCCCAGAAGGTCACCCATCCCAAAATTGCTCCAAGTCAAGCACGCTTAACTGTGGAGTTCTTATGAAGAGGCTACCGAAAAGAAAATGCATCTTGTTGGTATAGGTAGTACCAATTAATCCTTATAAGCCTTCATTCAACCATGCAGTCCCATACCTGCATAGCCTCAGGATCTCTCTCATTCAGATGTGAATTCGGTTTTCCCCCAGAAGCTGCTAGAAGTGTCTCATTGTCATGCCTCATGACACCGACAACCACTCCCTCGCCCACGGGGGTTACATGTAACCACCGTCCTCTTTCACCTCAGGTGTTACATGCCCACCAACTTCCGCTTGGTTCATCCCCGAACCACATCGTACTGGGAGAGGTATGGCTCTGATACCATTTGTAACGTCCCATATTGCTTTTAGGATTACCGACTGACCCCACAAACCAACACAGGTCTTTTCAGCATGCTTTGTCCTCAATCACACGCTTTCCAGGAAACTTCCCAGAAGGTCACCCATCCCAAAATTGCTCCAAGTCAAGCACGCTTAACTGTGGAGTTCTTATGAAGAGGCTACCGAAAAGAAGATGCATCTTGTTGGTATAGGTAGTACCAATTAATCCTTATAAGCCTTCATTCAACCATGTAGTCCCATACCTGCATAGCCTCAGGATCCCTCTCATTCGGATGTGAATTCGGTTTTCCCCCAGAAGCTGCTAGGAGTGTCTCATTGTCATGCCTCATGACACCGACAACCACTCCCTCGCCCACGGGTGTTACATGTAACCACCGTCCTCTTTCACCTCAGGTGTTACAATAAACATCTCTCTTCTTATTTAGGTATGTTATGTTCAGTTTTCCTTTGTGGGTGTTTCTAGATGGTATTTGTGACTTTTTCACCTTGTTGTATGAATCAAATGACAAAGATTTTCGCTGAAGAGAGGAGACAGAGATAGGAAAATATCAAGGTGGTTAGTTCATGCTCCGACGATCCCCAGAGTCATACCGAGGGACTTATTATCAAGGGAATGAAGAGGAAAACTGATGGCCTTTCTCCAGACTCGCTCAATGTGAAGGCTCCAAGGTAAGAGAGAGATCATTCATATGCTGCTGACACTGCCTCTCCAACTTATGGGAAGGAAAACACTCAAATTCCCCCACCTACGAGGCCCCACCTTCTGTGTGACCTTGTGGAGCAATGTTGGTTTCGATGACATTCAATATAAGAGTTCTCACCTCACATTCTTTAAGGAATTTTGCGCTGATTACCAGACCCCTGACTCTTAACTGTCCCTAGATATTATAAATATGAAGGAGAACCTTCTACTGAGAGCACTCATGTTGCAGAACGTTGACCAAGAGAGGCGAGATAAAGTTGAGAAAGACTTGAGAGATAAATTTCAGGATCAGGTAAACGCCTTCAATGAGAGCCAAGGTTGCTGAAGGTTCTTTAGGAAGACAAGGAGAAATGGGAGAAAAATGGCGGATGTAGAGGCCAAGGTGAAACGGATCTCCAACGAGGAGAAATCCTTGGACGCAACCCTCATTCGTCAATAGGAGCTAGAGAATGAGGTTTCGAAGTTTAAAGATGATGTGGTGTCTACTTCAGGTGTTTACTTTGAGTGCGCCAAATAACATATTCTCGTCCTCTATCCCAATCTAGATTTGAGCCAAATGGACATCCTCAAAGTTGTTTGCGGTGGCCATCTGGTGGATGAGAAGGAGATGGCCAGGATGAGAGCGAAGTGACCAAAGGTAGAGATTCTGGATTCCCTCAACCAAAAGGCGCTATTGGGGTGAAGATGATCTTGGACGAGCATTGATGTCTTGGTTGTTACTTGGATCCAAGTGGATTTATATTCTTTGTCCCCTTTAAGGGTTTTTTTTGGTTGTATTTCTTCGCCCCTCCTGTGGCTTTTGTAACTATACTAGACATCGGCGCCCTTTGAGGGTTTCTTTTATGTTAATTATCTTTTTTTCGTGATAAAACATTTTTAGCCCTTGGTTAAAGGTGCCAACTTTTATACATTGGCATCGCAGGCAACACAAATAGCCCATGGAGGACCTATGTAGACATTATTATTATTATTATTATTATTATTATTATTATTTTTGTATTATTTTTATGTTATGTGTATTATTACTCAGACATTGGTATCGTACAATTTATTAGATAACGTTTCATCGCTTTCATTGCTGCAAGATGAACATAACTTAACACATGACAACTAACTTAAATTAACAATAATAAATCAGAAAAAACTATACACTACTAGATGATTCTAGACTTTTCAACATAATGGTTATGCCTTCGACAAATCTTAAACTTGTTGCATAAAACTCGATTGATCCATTTGTTAGCCTATTGTGATATTTTGTTCACATAACCTTCAAATCTTTATCACTATTCAACTTCATATGGTCGTATTTCACCCTTTCATCGGTATCAATTCATGGTGCACGAAGCTCAATCTTACTCACCTTTCTGTTCTTGGTGTTGGGCAACATATTATTCAATTTGAATATCAGAAGAGCGAGACATGTGGTGTTTTCTGGGAGCACAAAATCTACTAGAGGTATCACCCCGTTGAAGCACAAAATATGAGTATTATCGAAAATTGAAGGAGTGTTAGGTTAAATTTAAGAGGTGGTAGAAAAAGTTCTCCTCTTGCATGGTTTAGCCCAAAAATCCATACCATACAGGCCCAAACAATTATTATATGAATTTATGATAGTAAAATAAATATATAAAACAAATTATATGAAAGAATTTGATATGTGACTAAAAAATAATAAAATAAAAATTAATTAATTTTTATTTTATTTTATTTTTATTTATTTTATTATTATTAAAATAAGAAAAAAATGTGCACAATATAAAATAATTTTACACGAATTAATGAAGAATATCCACCAAATCACAAATTTTAAAATATTAATATGACATGAAATTACATGCTCTACTCATTGTTTGAATGGCAATATTTTATTAGTTTTTATCCAAAATATTTAGAAAAAAATGTTTTTATTGAGGGGACATTTCTGAATTTATTTATAAAAATAAGAATACTGAAGTAAAAAACTTTTAGAGTATATATGAAAAGATAAAAAAAGTATTTTTTTTAACTTTTAATTTTTCAATTCACATCTGTAAATTTTATTCCTTTTATAAATTCTTTTTTATTTTATATTTTTTTAAAGTTATTTGAGGTAGCTTTTAACTTTTAATTTTTTTAAATTTTTAATTTTTAATTTTTAATATTTTAATTAAAATTCCTTTGTTCATTTATAATTTATTATAATTTAAAATAAATAGATATATTTTAAATATGAATAGAAAAAAGTTAAATAAATCTAACAAAAATTATTAATTTCTTAGTGGGACTTTTCTCCACTCTTTAACTTAATAGTTTCTACTCCATGTTCCTTCGGAAATTTTAACCTTGCTCTTATTAATACTCACTCTTACTCTATCATCTATCATTGGAATATATATATATATATATATATATATATATATATATATATATATATATATATATATATATATATATATATATATATATATATATATATATATATATATATATATATATATATATATATATATATATATATATATATATATATAATTGTATATATAATTGTTTACATGTATACTATTGTTTGTAAAAAAAAAAACAACATAATAAAGCTAAACATTTCAATCTTCCTATTTGGGCCAAGAGTGGGTAACTTTTCACACCCTAAAGCTTTGGTTTTCTACCCCATTTTTATTAAAAAACACACGTCTTTTTCTAAAAAATAGATGTTTTTTTTTTCTTTTCATATTTCCTTTTCTTTTTCTTTTCAATATGCTAATTTTGAACAGAGAATTCATAGTTAATAAATATATCAACTTTTATTAAAAGTCATTACTTCAACATATTTTACAAACTCAAATATACAAAAAAGTTGAAGTTCAATACTTCAAATTAAAAAAAAAAAATTCCTAAACCAATACTACTATATTTAAACCTACAACTTCAAGTAATACATAGAAAAATTAGTGATTGAATTTGAAATCCAAATCCAAATCCCCCAAAACTTTGTTAGTCTCATATTTTCATGTCCTTAGCTTTAGATGACAGAATGTAACTTGTTTATTGTTCCAACAGAATGTAACTCCTTTGAATACATAGCTTTATGCAAAACCTTGCCATTAACATCATAGAAAACAATGGTTGCATCTGTTTCTGTCAACTGAACAGACATGAAACCTTGTCCATCATAGAAGAAATTCACATCTTCTCTGTTTGTTTTTTGAACATCTCCTCTCCATGCCTTTGATCCTGCTCCACTTACCAGAAATTGCATAGGACTGCATAAAAAAATCATAAGCTCCTTTTGTTAAGTGCTTTTAAATTTAAGTTTATATTTTTTTACATGGTTTTTGTTTCATGTTTACCTGGCTGTGTCACTGATGTGTTCGAGACAGTGATCGTGTCCGTTTACGTAAAAATCAACCTTGTTTGCCTGTAGGACCGGTAGAAGTAGGCTTCCGAGTTCTCGAGTATCGCCGTGGTGTCCAATACTTTTAATCGCGTGGTGACCTACCGCAATTTTCCATTTTGCTTTTGATTCCCGCAATGCCATAGCAACGTCCTGGAACGTAATCATCCAAAATATTATCGATAATCTATACGGTTTATTATAACTATGTAAGTTGATATACAATATTTGTCTGGTATCTAACACATGTCTGTGTAAATTGTTGTATAACATTTGTCTGGTATCTGACATATGTCAATATCTGATAATAACACGACTCTAATTCATATGAATGTAAAAAGTCGATTTTTTTCATACCTTTAGTAAATTGGTAATGTAAGCCTTTGGTGGATTATTAACTCCCCTCCAATCATAATTGTGTTCAGGTGAAATAAAGTAGTCTTGAATAAAAGGAGTTGTGTCAATGAAGAAAATCTCAACCAGCTCTACACAACAAGATAAAAAAATTATTAGTTAAGAATTTTTTTTTTATAAAATTTATTAAATAATTAATGTATCTGATCTGATCTAAAACAAATGTATTATATATATTATAATAAATCAGATATATTAATTGTTCAATCAGTCTAAAAAATCAGAGGAAGTAAAATGCAATTAAGAAAATACCTGACTCTACAATATAAGACCTTAAACAAAGCCACCTGCTATCAATTTGTCTAAGAAATGGACTTAATTGTGCCTCTGCATCTCCCCTATAGTCATGGTTTCCCAACACTGCATGCAAATCATTAATCATGATATTAACATCCATAAATTACGATAAAAATACTAATTACTATAAAAAATTTTAAATTGCAATTTCGTAGCAACAATATACAAATTTAAAAGTGTCTGGTATCTAACACGTGGTGACTTACCAGCATACCACGGCTTTTGCAAGCTTTTAGCGGTGTAAATTTTGCTGAATGATTCCTCAAAATTAGGATCGCGGTCACTAGTTAAGCCATTGTCATAGAAATTGTCGCCGGTCGAAACTACAAAATCAATGTCAAGTTTCTCTCCAACATAGCCCAACTGTAACCAAAATATAGACCAGATACATTTATTATTTTTGCATAATTTTCGGTGCGGAGAAATAAGTACTTAATTAATTAAGTTGATTACCAAAAACACTTAAATTAAATGGACAGGAAAAATGTGATTCAAACCTGAAAAGCAACATCAGATTGATTGTAATCACCCTTTCTTCCCCAGTCACCAAGAACCAAGAAACTAAGAGAACCTTCATTTCTTGGTGTTTGTCTAAACCTTTGCAATTCTGCAGATGCATGAAAATTTCCCAAACCAAACATAATTGCAAAGAAAAACCACATAATCATGGAGTTTCCATTGAGTCTTGCCAT